CAGCGGGATGATCTGGAAAGTCCGCACAGGCGCCGACGGCAGGTCATTATACTGCTCTGGCGCCGCGCGCCCCCCGCCCCCGTTGCTCGGCCCCGGCGCCTGCTGCGTCGGCCGCCACCGCGGCGCCTGCGCCGGCGCCGCCCCCAGCTCCGGCGCCCCCGACGACGGCACGACCTTGATCGCTGACGTCACAAAGTGCTCCCGCTTTTCGGTGTAGAGGGTGAGGGTCGCGAGGTAGGTGCCCGGTTCCGTAATCTCCACGGTCCCTTGGATGGGCAGCGCCTCTTCATCGAACTCCACGAAGACCTCCCCTGGGTTTGGGGACAGCTCCTCAACGTACCTGGGATGTTCAAAAGGGGTGTGCGGGTGTTCGCATGATGTGGAGGGGGGAGTGAGGACTGCAGTTAGAGGTTTGCGGTTTGCCATTGTGTGTGGCTGAAGCATGGCATGTGGGGCCGGCTGCTGCTTGCATTGTGCCCGGAAGGTCGAGTCAGGGGCCCGCAAAGGAGTGCTTGTCCAGGTGTGGTGAGGTCAGACCTCAAGGGGAGCTGGGTGGGATGGTGGGGAGGTATGCTCAGCAGCCGCGGGGCCCCATGCGCCTGACCCGGTGGCAGCTCACCAGGTATACCAGAGGATGGGGTCCGAATCATCGGGGTTCTCGACGGATTCGCTGCCGTCCAAGGATAGTTTCAGGGGCGAGCGCTTGAACTCGACGTATCCGAGGGTGTCCTCCCCTTTGACCTTGATCAAGGGGACCGGGTAGTCTGCCTCTCCGGCCGCCCGCACCGGCAGCCGGCCGGCCGCGCGCGGCCCGTTGCGCGTCCCGCCGCCGCTGCCTGCCGTGCGCCCGCGGCGCGCGCCCGGCGCGGCCGGCAGCGCGGGCAGGTCGGGAGCGGGGGCCGCGTCGGGCACTGACTGGAGGGGGGCGGGGCCGGCTTCGAGGTTGCTGCGCATGTTGCTCACAAGGGCACCAACGTCCACAACACCTGGGTCCCGCCGCACGTGGCGCTGCTGCGGCTGCTGCTGCTGGATGTACGCGGCGCGCTGCGACGGGTAGGCCGGCTGCTGCTGCTGCTGCTGCTGCTGCTGCCGCTGCTGCGAGGGCCACGAGGCCTGCTGGCGCCACGCGGGCTCCTGCTGCTGGGACGGCCACGCCTGCAGCTGCTGCTGCTGCCACCTGTCCGCACGCACGCCTTGGGTGGAGAACTCGCTGTTCTCCTCTGCTTCGCTCCCAGGCCCGCCGGCGGCGGTCGAGCCGCCGCTGCTGGTAGCGTTGCCGACTGTCAGGTCAGCAAAGGCCGAGGAATGGCCACCCCTGGAGTCCATTACCTCCAGTTCAATTTGATACAGGCCTGCTGACGTCACGGTGACATCAGCAGCAGCTCCGGACGCGCGCGCCAGGACTGTGTGCTCGTCCCGGACTGTCCAGAGGTACTGAATCAACGGTGCGTTGGCGTCTGCAGTTGTGGCTTGCGTGGACCTGCTGCCATCCAGCGCAATTGGGCTCCCTGGGGCCTGTTTTGTCAGCAAGCGTGTGGTGCGTGAGGCGGGAATTACGATCAAGCACCTCATCTATTGATTTGGAACGCGTGCTCTGGCATGACATCAGGCGTTGGGTGCAAGTGCCGGTTTTTTCGTGTCCCTGCAGCTGCTGCTCACAACAGTTGCTCGCTGCGCAGCCGCTCGCTGCAGACCACGGCTACAGCCCTGCCCTCCCCAATCATGCACGCTGAAGATGGACCCAAGGTGGTGGCCGCCATGGCTGAGCTTAGCAGCATCCGTATCCTCCGGCCTGCTTGCCCCTTTCTCAGCTGGCCCTATATAACTGCTTTGAGACTCACCCCAGAGTACGGCCCGCCAGCATCAGCCGTCGGCGCCTCAACGAGCCGCATGGATCCGGCCACCAGCAGCAGGAATGAGTCCATCTGGGGGTCACCCGCGTCCGTCACCACGGCCCTGACATCATAGCTGTTCCCGGGTGACACGGGGAAGCCTTGGGTGGGCAGCACCTGAATGCACCACGTTGTTGCCGCAGTCGGCAAAGATGGCGGTGGCGGGCGGCGGCGCGTGAGCACGGGACGCAACTTGCGAGTGCGCCAGGGCGGGATGAAGTGCAGCGGGCAAACGTTTTCTGTCCTGCAGGTGTCCAGCCATCCGCTGCTTGAGCCCAACGGAAAAATCAAGTTCACTGCAGTGCATCCAGTTGCCACCAACACAGTGCCATCCATTATCAGAAGCGACCTGGGTGCCGCATCTCCCAGCCGCTGTTGTTTTTCCAGCCCTCATATTTCATGTCAGGCGGCCACTTTGATCGCTTGGTGCCTGAACGCACGCCCACCCGTGCCCTCTTACCCGAGTCAACGCTCCCATCCCCGTCGCCAGTCGCAAGCCGTCCGCGCCCTCGCCATCGCGTACAACCAGCCCCTCTGCCGCAGAGCCGCCCAGCACCGCGCTCGCATTGACGGCGCCGCCGCCAGGGAGCAGCGCCACGTTGCGCTCCACGCCTGCGCCTGCGCCAGCCGGCCCCACAAACACGGCAGCAGCATCTGGCCTTGCGCCACCGCGCTTGCGGCCGCCCTCCTCTGATGCGAATGCGAAGCTGAAAACCAGCTGCAGACCTGCAGGCGCGCCTGGTGCGACGCTGACCGTGAACGCAAGGGAAGCTGCGTCGAAGCCGCCAAGTGTTACATCGCCGCCTTGAAGCGTGGTGGTGGAGGCTGCAGACTTGCCTGGCTTGAGGGAGGCAGCCAGCTCGGCGGCACCAGTAGACAAGACGACTGCGCGCTCAAAATGGCGCACCAGCGTGCTGGCACTGCTGCTGCTGGTGTTTGTAGTATTATCGTGACTGCTGCCACCTATGGTGGCGATGGTGCTGCCATTGAGCACTGCATGGCCGAATGAGACGCATGCGCCCTTGAACTGAGCATCCGTAACGGTCAGCCGTGAGTCGCCGCTGAGTGCCTCGGCAGCCGCGGCCACGAAAGCGGCGTCTGCGCTGCGCGCCGTCGCAGCGCAAGATGAAGCATAAGGCGCCTTTGGAAGTTGTTCAGTTGCGCCACTGCTGCTGCTGCTTGTGGTGGTGGTGGTGGTAGTGCTGTCGCTCTGTTGCGCCGTAGCGGGCTGCGCTGAAGCTGCTGCACCTGCCACTGTCGCTGCGGCTGCCCCCAGCAGCGCCAGGGCCAACACTGGCAGCCAACGAGGCTGCCGCCGCTGCATGTTGTATTCAAATACCGTGTCACTCACGACACCATTGCCTCTCTTGATCAAAACACGGCCCTGCGAACGATAAAAACCGCTGCTGTTGGGTTTAGCCGCGCCTCATGCGTTGTTGGCAGTTCAGTGTAATACCACGTTCATGTTGAGATTCTCAAGCTTGCGATTACCTGCTGCAGGCCCAGGGGTGCTGTGCTCGCTGTGGCACCGTCCAGAGCGGTGCCGCTCGTTCTAAGCGTGTTATACAACCAGAATGTATTTTTGTGAAAATTCGAGTGCTTGATGACCCAAAGCCAAGGTCTTCGATTGCAACTGAAGCAAATGACGGCACAGGCACCTCAAGCAGCTGCTGCGGCCTCACCCGGCCCAGCTGCGCAGCCTGAGAGGTTCGAGGGTGCTGTCGATCCACATTTCAGGAGTAGCAAAACATTATTTGTGGAATTGCATGCGACGTGCTTCATGTTCTTGCCACCGCCAACTTGACAGTGCCATGTGAGGATTCAAGTTTTGGGTATCCCTAGTCCTGACCATCCATTTTTGCTGTGGTCTTCATGGACCATCTCTTTGCAGGCTTGCACCTCCACATCCATGCAGCTATACGTTTGCTGAACAGCCACGTTGGCTGCTAGCTACATACATCAGGGGTGGCTTGACTACCGGTATCGGAGAGCGTGCCTCAGGTTTGCGTGACCAGCTGGGTGCAGACTTCTCGGCATGCCGGTAGTATGATACGGTAATCACACTCTTCATCTCCAGCGCTGTGCATGACATGTGCATGTGCCTGTCACTTGGCAACGGCACTTCACTCTTCATTCACCAGCAACATCGGTGGTCGTTTGCAGGTGCTGCCCAGAGCAGCCTCCTATTCAACCCCGCCTCATTTTATGAATGGATGCTTCATTCTTCAACTCACAGGCTTACCCTGCCAGATAGCTTAGTACCTTGCAACACAGCTGCTCATGCTCAAATGATCAAAGACGGTTATGTTGAGATCACATATCGCCACGGAACTCAAAATCAAGCGTAAACCAAAGCACACAACTTTGGTCGAGACACAAGGCGCTGCAGCCTCTTGCCGCGCGGTAGAGGAATTCGGGCTTAGCACGGCAGCTGAGAGTTAGTGGTCAGGTACATCAGCTGAATGTGATGCCCTCTTCATCATTGATTAAACCGTATTAGATCGTTCAAATAAACACCAGCACGTTTCAGTAGTGCAACGGGACGCGTTGGGGGGCAGCGGCTTCTACAATGTGCCGTATCTGAAGTAGAGTGGCGCCAGCAGCACTCAGAAGGCGTGATAAAGATCAACGGGATGCTGCTGCTGTTGCGCGGCGCGGCGGCGCTGCTGCTGCTGGTGGCGTGCAGCGCGTCGGACCCCCTGATTAATGGGGAGCAGTCGCCATCCAAGTACTGGGGGCCAGGCGACATAGATTGTGAGTGTGCATAGCAATCAGTGGAAACAGAGGCAGGCATGCAGACCTGCACAGCGCGCGGTGCAAGGGCGGACACAACGCTCAAAAAGCCCGCAGCACTGCGCTTGCGGTGCCGCAGCCAGCAGGGGTGCAAGCATTTGGTTGATCGCAAGCGTCTCAGCCCTCATAATGCAAAGAGAACCAGAAAAGTGTTGACAATTCACTTGCTATGGCAGGCATGGTGGCATCGCATGGCGGCAATGCAAAGAAAGCGTGCACATGAGCAACGCTGCTCGAGTGTCCCCTGCAGCACCTGCGGCCCCAGCAGCTGCCACGCATGCCTGCCCCCGCCCCCGCCCCCCCCACATGACAACAAACATGCAAGCGCCCATGCCATTGCCTCCACGTCCCCTGCAGACGCGGTGATGAACTTCGCAGACCCGCCGCCGGCCAACCCACCGCCGGTGCCCGACGTCGTGTTTGGGCCGGCCCAGCAGGGCTTGGACTACCGCAACTACCGCCCTGACCGCCCCGGTATCACTACCACCAAGGCGAAGCGCGAGCTAGCCCGCAAGAAGGCCGCCGCACGCGCGTCTGCGGCAGCCAGGAGGGCGGACGCGGGGATCCAGGGGCTGATCTCGCGCCGGCGGCGCGGGCTGCGCGCGACGCCGTTCCGCTCGGCGTCCGACGCGGCCGGCGGCAACGCCACGGTGGCGGGCGGCGGCGGGCGCACGGACGCAAGCGGCGGCCACGGCGGCGGCTATGGCTTTGGCGGCATCGGCCTGGCCCGCAAGATCACCGGACGCAACATCGGATTCGACGGCATCGGAGTTCCCGAGACTCGGCTGATCCCCGAGGATCTCAGCCTCGCAGTCGGCAACACCGCCGCGATCCACACGGCAAACAGCATGATCAGGTTTTACAGGGTCGACATTACCGGGAAAAAGGGCAAGCACGGCTTCATCAACAACCCGAAGGACACCAGCTCTTACCTGAAGCAAGTGTGGACTGCCGACTTTTTCTATCCGGTACGGCTTGGCAGCGCAGCATCAACAGCAGTCCGAGGGTTGATCGCTTGGCACAGCTGAGCAAGCGGCTTTTATAAGCGGTGCTAAAACAGGGCTGCCGCCAAGCTGGCAACAGAGCCAAGGTCATCAAGCAGCCGCCGCCCGCAACCCGAGCCTCTGACACACCCATTGGCACCTTGCTTGCCCGCAGGTCACCCGGCGCCTGGACGGCTCCAACGGCTGCACCCTCGGTGTGTACGCGGCCGCCGTGGCTTACGACAAATGGGTCGGCCGCTACATGATATCTGCCATCTGCAACGACGTGCTGCGGCCGCGGATCCTGCTGGCGGTCTCTACTGTCGACTCTGTCACCGACTACTGGACGCAGTATGCCGTCTCGGCCGACAACACCGACACGAGCTGGGACTGCGCCAACGGCAAGCGCGCGTTCCCCGATTACAGCCAGGTGGGCTGGCGCCGAGTACGGCGCTTGGTGACCTGCCTTTACCCTTCTGAGCGGCGGGCTTGACCGCTGGCTATCAAGCGCATGCGGAGCGTTATGGCTCGAGACAGGACGCAATGGAAGAGAGGTGACCACACACGAGATGGCCCCAGCGCACCTGAGAGCCCCATATTGGTTTGATGTTGGACAGGTTGGCTACAACCGCGATGGCATATATGTGACCTGGGTGGCAATCTGCAGCGAAGAGGTGGCCAGCAACGACCAAGTCCAGTCCAGCGCCATGATCTACGCGTTCCCCAAGTGGGCCGTGTACGGGGTGAGAAACTCAACAGAAACTTCAAGCTGGCCTTGCGGCAGGGTCAAGAAGATGCTCCTGTTCTGCGGTTCATGCGCAGGCGCCCGTCCCACCTTGAATCCCCAGATGGGTGAGCCTCCACGCCGTAAAGACACGCCTTGATCTCCCCTGACCCGTGGCAACCCTCGCATCTCGACCCACAGGGCAACAACCCGACCCTGATTATGAAGCAGTTTTACGTGCCGGTCTTCACGGGGCAAGATCTGTGCCTGGCGGTCCGCGACCAGGCGCCCTTCCGCCTGCCGACCGGCGGCGACTGCGGCAGCGCGTTTGTGCAGCTGCAGCCGGTGATGCCGCAGACCGCCATGGACGTCAGAGCGGGGGAGACCTTCTTTGTGCTGGACGTGAGTTTGTGGGGCTCGTGCATTCAAGTATGGGGGGCCTCATGTGCTGCTCTGCGGGTGATCGCTGGCTGCAACCTGTCCCCTCTCATTTGGTAACCCAGGCGGCCGGTGTCTTCAGCGCTTTTGGGCAGCGCACTCGCGCTTTGCTGGGGTGTACTATGAGCCACAACTTACGCTTCGCCACCGGGATGGTCGCAGTGCCTTCTGGTCTGCCCCCCAAAGAGGCTACTTTCTGTACCAAAAAAGGTTCTCCGGGAGCACCAATGCACCAAGCTGCCAAACACCCGCTGATTGTGCCACCAACCTCCCGCAAGGCGACGGCTCCCCCTCGCTCCGCCCCTTTCTCCCCTCTGCAGTTCCAATACGACCAGCTGTCCCGCCGCAACTTCCTGCTCGTCGCCCTGATTGCGACCGGCACCCTTTGGGACAATGACGGGTTTGGCACCCCTGAACCCTATATCCTTGGGCGCTACGTAGACAGGGGGGAGGAGGCATACGTGGGGGACGACGTCTTCCTTCTGCAGGCGAGCGCGGCGCTAGGGGGCGGGCGGTGGGCGGGTGGGTCGTGCAGCGGGTGCGTGGGTCGCCGGCGTGCGCGTGTGTGCGGGGGAGGAGATGAACCGGCAGACCCGCGCAAGCCATCTTGACGGCCTTTGTCTTTGCGGCCACACCGCAGAACGCGGCCACGTTCAGCGCAGTGCCTGATTTGGATGCCGGCGCGGTCAACCCTCGCGGCTACTGGAACGGAGGGGTGCGTATCGTACGCAAATTTAGGAGGAAGTCCAGGCGCTAGGCACAGGGGCTGCCAGGGCCGCATGGGCGCACGCCCAACCCGCCCTGATGAATTGACTCCAGCCAGTGCATGCTCAGCGCAGCATGCACATCAAGGGCTTCTGCGCCTGCATGCCTGCATGCCTGCCTGCCTGCCTGCCTGCCTGCCTGCCAGGCGGCCTGCTGCCCTGCTGACAAGGCCCCAACGACGCGCCTCGCAAACTTCCGCTTGCAGGCAGCCTATGCCAACGGCCGCATCTACATCGCCGACAGGACTGATGTGATCGACCCACCAGTCCCCCCAGGTTCCACAACCGACATCTACAACCCCCGGCCTGCAATCTACTGGGCATGGGTGCAGCCGACGTTCACGGCATATGGGGAGTGCGCCTGCTACTGGAACTTCAATTGGGGATATGGTTTCGGCTGGATCTGGGACAAGGGGTGCTATAACCCCATCACAGGGACGTACACAGCGGGCGGGGGCGGTTACTACACGAGGAGTGGCAGGAATCTGCAGGGGACGATCATGAGGGACCAGGCGACGGCGCCAACCGCGGCAGAGCGGGACCGAAGCACCGTGGTGACGTACAGCGACGCCGGCGGCGCCGGCGCCGGCGGCGCGGGCGGCAGCGGCGCGCAGCGGGGGTACGGCGGCGGCGTCAGCAGCGGAGGCGGCGGCGCCGCAAGTTCAGGCAGGCAGGTCTCCACGAGCTCAAGCAGCGGCGGCAGCTGGGCGGAGCAGGGCGCGGCGCCGCGCGCGCGGCGCACGCCCAACGTCGTCTACAGCGCGGCCGCCGGCGCCGTGGAGCACACCATCCGGACGCAGGCGCCGCCGGGGTCGCGCGTCATCGTGCCGCCAGCTGGCGAGACAGAAGCGGCGGCGCTCGACGCAGAGCAGCTGACGCCGGACCAGTGGGCGGCGGCCCAGGAGGCGGCAGCCAAGGGGACCGGGTCCTGGGACTCCAGCGGGCAGATCAGCGCGAGCGGAAAAGAGTCTCATAAATACAGGGATGTGTACATGGCGGCGGCTTACTATACCCCACAGGCCAGCACGTGGCGGGTCGACATCCGCTGCCGGTTTGACTTTTTGTGGAACGTCAAGAATAAGGTAAAGGGGTTTCCCATCAAACATATGCAAAACTTATTAGCATGTGTGTGTGTGTGTGGGCGCGCGCGCGGGGGCGCGTGCGTGCGTGCGTGCGTGTGCGCGCGCGCATGCACATGTGCGCATGCGCGCGTACGCACACGTGCGCCGCTTGTGCGCCCTGGTGTGTGCATGCCTGAGCCTGCTTGCATGCATTGCTGGCGCCAACAATCATGGCAGCACCCCTGGAGGCTCGATGCGACCGCCTCATAACGTGCCAACAACTCCCCAGGTGTCACTGCTGGCTACGGTCATCAAGAGCGGCGTCATCACTTATGGATCTGGGGCGGGGCAGCAGGAGGCACCCCTGGGCCTGGCCTACCCCCAGGTGCGAGTGCTGCCTGCTGCTGCAGCCCCTCTGCGCAGTGAGGGTTACTGTCTGTGTGCGATTTGACCGCAACAATCTGAGGCCCACTTTGCTGCTTGAAAACAGCAAAATGCCAGGGGGCTAAATGAGATCAGTCTATAGAGGGTTAGGCGCCGCTGGGCCGCTGGGTTGTGCTGCCTGGCGATGCAGGGATGTTGGGCTGTGCAGACGCGGCTTGTCTACTGGATCTGATCAAAACAACACGGAGCCACCCCTGGAGGATTAGCTGCGACCGCCCTCATTCTCTTGTCACTCCGCCACGGCCCACAACAACTCACGTGCCTCCCCCCCCACACACACACAAAGACACACATACGCACAAACACACACACACACGTGCACACACACACACTCGCACACACACACACACCGCACTGCCCCACCTCCTCCCCCACCAGGTCGCCGTCAGGGGCGGCACCATGCTCGTCACCTACACTTTCAGCTCGTTCGCAAACCTGCCTGCCCAAGCCAAGCGGATGCCGGCCCCAGTCGACGCCAAGCAGGCGGCCGGCCCGGCGCCGTTCATCCCCGGGACCCTGTACCCCGATTCGCCCGCGTATGCAGGTGGGGGCCTGGGATTGGTTGGGTGGTTTGTTTTGAGGGTTATTGGGTGTGTTGATGGGTAGGAAGGGGCCCGCGCAGGCAGTCAGGACGGGAGCGCATCACCGAGTGGGTAGCTGGTTGACTCCAATGATAGCGAGTGGTTGTGTGAGCTTACCGGGGTCCTGTACAGCTGAGACAGGGTTCCCGAAAGACTGCAGTGGTTCCCGGCCCCTGCTCAAGCAATGGCTCGCCCTCGCCTCGCCCCGGCCCCCGCCCAGCCCAAAGCCCACCCCAGCGCCCTGTCCGGCCGCCCGACCGTGCCCGCCTGATTCGTTTACACCGCCCCCCCTCCCCGCGTGCCGCCGCAGGCGTTGCGTACTCGGTGATCAACGCCGAGGACGCTGCTACCCAGGTTACCATCGCGTGGCAGAACGACCCCTCCTACGGCCCAATCATACAGAACGACCAGCGCTTCGGCGACAGCGCCGGCATCGACATACACCCGCTGAGCGGGCGCGTGTGGTCAGCCAATCTGTACGTTTGGGCGCCCGCGTGGACGGTGGACGGGTCGACGGTGATCAGCAACGCGGGCGCCAGGATCACAATCTTCAGCTGAGCGGGTTCGCGCGGTGATCTTTTTGAATGAAAGCTGAGGGGACGCGGTGATCACGGTCAGCAGCTGGGGGGCCAGCGCGCCGCGAGGGCCGCAGAGGCGTGCAGATCGCATGCGTGCTTGACCCCGGGATTTGGAGGGAGCTGTGCGGTTTAGAATGCGCCCCACCCGGCACGGGGCCTGCAAGAGGCTTGCATGAGGCTTCAGAGCAGGTTCGTGCTGGCATATGAGTTTGAGCTTGGGGTGTGGCGCGGCGGCGTAGGTTGGCCCCCGCTGCCACCTTCCCCTTTGCCGGCCTGCTCGGCCCTCTTGCCCGGGCCGCGGCGCACGTGGGTGCTGTTCCCGGGCGCCCCGAACGGTGGGCACCAGCCAGCCGGCTGGCTGGCCACCTGCCGGCGCTCCAAGTGCGCGGCAGCTGCGCGCAGCGGCAGGCGCGCTGCCATCCTCAGTCGTTGGCCTGTCAATGCTCGAATATGCAACTCATGGGGAACCACACTTGCGTGGGCCGACGCGGTTGTCTTCGAGTCACGATTGATGTTCTCTCTTGTCCCGCTGTGAACGCACCACCCAGCCGAAGTCAACCCCCTGCTTGACCACCGGCGCGCTGCCAAGCCGCCCAACCAGCGCGTCAGCCTCTTGGTCGCGGTGCACCACCACAGCCCCGGCGACGCGCCCACCGGCAAAGCAGCGGCTTTTTCCCAATCCGTCAAGCCGGTGCCCGCCCCAGGGCGTGGCGCCCTGGAGCCCTGCCACGGCTTTCAAACCCGCCCCGTGCGCCCCGCCTCCCCCGGATGCTTCCTTCGCCACCTGCGGGCGTTGGCGCGCGCTTTACGCTTTGGGTGCGCGCGCTCTTCTTATGCCCAGCCCCTGTCATGTGGGCGCTTCCTGAACAGAACCCTCGGGTCGGTTGTACACCCCAGCATGCCTAGTTAATTTACAAGCTGAGACAAGGGGTCAGTGGACGGGATAGGGGCGGAGCGGGTCTTCCGCGCGCCGCCCAGTGAGTGCAGCAGTGGCCCAGGGGGCGCCCCCGCCAGCGCAGCATCCTAGGGAAGAAGCCCCTCAAACGGGGAGCTGCGCTGCCCCGGCGCAGGCGGGGGCGCTGGGTGGGGGCCGGTCTTGGCCGTGGGCCCAAGTGTGTGTGCGGGGTCATGCTCAGGTGGAGCCCGGGCTATTTGTGCTGCGCGGACGCTACCGGGGCGACAGAGCGTTGGGCGGGGGCTGGCTCGCGATTAACAATGTACGCAGCAAGCACGGGCGCGTCGCCGCATTGCCCGGTGGGGGGAGGGAGCGGGCCCCGGTGCCTGGTATGGGGTGGCCTGGGCGATTGGGGACGCCGAGCCCATGTGGGGAGCAACGACACAATTGGATGTATGACGCAACACAGATGGTGATACCGATGCGGGGCGCACTCGGGCGGGCGGGCAAGGGGGGGTCCAGCTTAGAGCATTGCGCCGCGGCCACAGCCGCGCGGCGAAATTCCTCTACATCGCAACCCCCCTCTGCCTGCACAGCCGCGCGGTCCCGCGGACCAATGAAGCGAGGGGCGCGCCTGCCGGCGCGGGCCGCGCCGGGAGGGTTTCCCTCAGATGGAGCGTCACACGGTGGACCCGCCCCCGATCGGTGGCGTTGACCCAAACAACATCACGTTGACCGAGCTGTAGCAGCGCACGTGCGTGCGCGAGCCCACATCACACCCTACCGCACCACACCGCAGGACACACTCAAGCACCAAGGGCCAGGGCAAGCAAGCGGCGCGTGGGCGCTCGCAGGGTCTTGCCCGGGGTGAGGGCCATGGGTGAGGCGCGCCCGTTGGGCGCCGCGAGCGGCGATGACGCTGGCTGTGCCCCATGCCGCCGGCCGGGCACACGAGAACATGACTAAGGG